TAAATCTCAACTTCTGCTTTTGTAACTTATAGCCATGGATACAATATAACCGTGGCTATAAATAGCTTTTAGCCATGGACAATTTGTCCGTAGCTAAAGCTCAACTTTTAGCTACGGAGAAATTATCCGTAGTTAAAGTTCAACTTCTGCTTTCGTAACTTATATCCACGGATACATTATAACCGTGGTTATAAATATTTTTTAGCCACAGACCAAATAACTTTTAACTACGGATAAATTGCCCATAGCTAAATCTCAAATTTTTGCCATAAACATCAAATTGTCCGTGATTATATCCCATGTTTTAGCTACGTTTTTTGACCATAACTAAAGTACCGTAGCTATAATCCCATTTTCCTGTAGTGGAGGTTGGAGGATAATCGGGTTTCATAAGTCGATCTAACGAGGTGCCTTCAAGTGAGGTCTTACCACAAGCATAGCCAAGAGAATGGCAAGGCATGATTAGAGCGAGAGATCATCCATCATAAATGAGAATGAGAATGGGGTAAAAGAGTTTTTATAACCAATATTTTTTTCGATAAAATGATAAATAAGAAACTAAGTGTGAGTATTTATGTGGAGGAAGCTACCAAACATACAATTTTTTTGCATAACTGAACATCCAAAATTTTTACCTCCTTGATAGGGGAATTTGGATCTATTTCATCATAGAGCACACCTCACACCAAGGAATCAAGATTTCCTCCTCAAAGATAAAGGATGGTAATTGGGTAGGCACAAGACTCTACCTACCTTTTTAGATCTCTTAATCCATACCCTCTCCAAAATTCATGGTAGATTGGATTTTCATAGCCCAAACCCTTTTTGCACATGAAAATGTAAAACCCTTTCCAACCTTACTCTCGGGTGGAATGGGTGAGATTGGCAGGTCGGGTTTAGAACCTGTATTTAATTTCCTATTATTTTTAATTATATTAAAAGTAATAAACAAGTAAAATAGCATGAACAAATATCAAAATTTCCAAGTACTTGAGTAACATGTACAAAACACATAAACTACTAATTATCCTTCACATGAATTTCAAAATATTATACATCCAACACCTATTACATAGGTTCATATGCCTTCAAACAATATGCAGGTCAAGTAGAGTCATGTATAGCCTAATATCATACTCTACTCATACCCATATGGGTTGTGAAATCCCAAAACCCGTCTGGTGGAGGGTGATTTGGCCCGACCTCGTAGCATGGGGACACGTGGACATGACCTGGCATAGGTGACAACTCAGCGTGACAGCCTGGCCATAACTCGGCGTAACAAACTCGTCGGAGCCCGGCCGGACAACTCGGTGGATGTGGCAACTCGTCGGGAAGCAAGACCCAGCTTACCTCGAATTCTCTCCAAGGGTGGAGCGCCTCGAGCTCCCTCCATGCGAGGAGTCCCGATCTCCTCTTGAGACCCGAGCTCCTCCTAATGAACCTCGAGGTCTTCCTTCCTGAGAAGGGAACACCCCGACCTTCGGCTAAGTATCCCGAGGTAGAAACACTTCGGGTCAGCAACGTTAACACTCCTGTCCATACTTGCCTAAGGCCCGCCCCAAGTGTAAGCACCTCGGCGTACCCCAACACCTTAGTGTAAGATAGTTCGACCCAAGGTAGTTTGGTGCAAAGTAGCTCGGCAACCTGCAGGAAAGATCCGCCCGACGGCCATACCTGCTAAATCTGGAGGCTGCGCCCACGTCTCTTGTCAGGCGGCGTCGTGCCTGCCACTTCTGCCAGATGTGGCACGCCTGACAAGTCCGTACCCTGCAACGACTGCCCGCATCGGCCACCTCGGTTGTGGCAGTAACGGTTGTGGCAGAGGCGGTTACGCCTAATTTGATAAGATCTCTGATATAAAATGACCCCGACCTCCAAGGAGCCAGGGTATTGTGTTTGCGCCATCTGCACTCTTAGTTCTCTCTCTCTGTATTCTCTTTAATCCTCTCAAAGTTCTAACTTAAGCATCGGAGTGTTCCCGCTGGGCAAGCCCCCCGCGAATTCTTCACCTTCCTCTTCATCTCAGTTATCGTCTGTCACAGATAGGAGCTAGGTTTCTGCCAGGTAGGAGTGCCCGGATCAAGCAGCATCACCATCCTACCCCAAAATCCATTTTTTAAGGAAAAAAGACCTTCCCTATTAAGGTGCATAAGGGTGGATGCTGATCACGTAGGTAGAAATTTCCATCCCTATTCACTAAATTGGTCCTCACACCCATGTCACAACACTCGTAGCAGACGTTTTCCTATCGAGCTTCCATGTCAATCCACAAGTAGGAAACCCATGTCTCAAAACATTCTGGGGTATAAAAGAAGTTCTCAATTCAAAACTTTATTGTGGTTCTTCATGGAAAATGATGATGACGAAGGAAGAGAGGCTACAGAAGTTGAAGCCAAGCTCTTGCTTAGGATGGGTGTCATTGGACTCTAAAGAAGCTTGTAGAGGAGTGAAAACAAAAGCCCTAAGATTGTAGCCAAAATCCTTCTTTAAAAGCTATTGTAACCTTCCTATCTCAGCCAAAATGCTATTGGAGAAGAAATTAGAATTTTGGGTTTAGTTAGAATATCACCACAGCACCAAAAATTAGGTAGAAGGATGGAGGGTAATATTGGGTTTTAAAAAAAGTATAGGTAATGTGGTGTCACATGTGTATAGATTTTGAGGGAGCATTAACGGACATTAATGGTAGGGATAGAACTAGTCAATTGTCAAAAAGCTTAGGGGGTACTCTAAGACAATATGTAAACAGTAAGGGTATAGTTTGTAAATTAGCGAAACAGTAAGGGTACAACCTCTATTCCTAGGCATATGTTCATACCCTTATCCATTATTATATTTTTCCTTAGTTTTTTTTCTTACTTTGTATTTGGATTTTTTAATAGCACATTGAAATGATTAAATAAAAATTTTACTTAGGCCCATAATTTGACCAAAGGCCTCTTGGAGTCACCACTCTCCGTGAACTCAGGGTGGTGAGTCCCCAAACAAAAGGTTTCTCTTGATTTTTTTTATAGTGACTCCACGTACCTTGCTTGCTCAAACCCAAATTCTAGGGTTTTAGCTTAGGAGAGGGAAGGGGTGAGGCACCTCTCTCTTGTACCTGATGAACCCCTAATGGCATGATTTGTTTCTCTTGTGAAAGAGTTAGATAAAACTGAATCTACAATTGATATCCAATGCTTACATCATTGGATTAGACAAACCATCAAATAGCTCATAATCAAGAATTTTACATGGTTTGTGGTGTCTAAAATGCTTCGAGTTGGAGTCCAATGAGTTTGGTGGTATCGGAGTTCCCCCTTAACACTCCTCTAAGAACCAACAATTCCTCAAAACGAGAAAGAGAGGTTTAGGCACATGTCTGATCAAGCTCTTCCCTTCTTTAGATCGAATTCCAATGAGTGGGGTGGTACTGGTGTTCCTCCCCTTCACACCTCTCTTGGAACCAGTTGTCTACTTGGAGAAGGGGCAGCATTGAGTTTAACCCAAGCCCCTTCTTCCTATCTCAAAGTTGGAATGAGATTGGTAAAAGCAAAATGCCAATGGGAGGACCAGAGCTTACCTACGTTTAAGAGGGAGTATGGAGCAGAAGGTTTCGATGTGCCCCTATGTTTTGGGAGGAAATTCCAAGGAGTTTAAGCTTCACGCCTACCTAGAACTCAAAGAAATCACTACTGCAAATGGGAGAAAGTGAACAATGGCAGTTGTTGAGGTGTTCCTACAAATCTATTGTCTTCAAGCATTCTTGGTTACAACGTCGAGAGGTGGACGATGTGAAGATATAGAAGACTGATAGGGGTGGACTTCAGTAGAGGAGAACTACTACAAATAGTTAACGACAGCTTGTTCCAAATCCATTCTCAGGAACAAAAGCGAAGAGAATAAATAAAAGATAATGACAATGAAGATAAGTTAATAAGAAAAGAGAGAAAGAGAGAGAGAAGTTGATGTGGAAAGAATAAAACAAATGTGTCTTGAGAGGGGGAAGGGGTAGTTTGGGAATTTTGAAAAGACTTAAGGGTAAGAGGGTCTAAAAGTGGTAAAAGTAAGGGTATTCTAGTAGGAAGAAGGTTAAGGGGTATTTTAGGTATTTTAAAAAAATAAGGGTAGGAGTGTCTAAGAATTTAACAAGTATGGTAGTTTGGGATAAAGGCAAATTAAGGGTAGTTTAGGTGTTTTGGATCTTTTTTTGGATGAAGGTGTCTAGGTGATAATAATATGGGTATTTTTGTCACATGTCTATGAATTTTGACAGAATGTCAATAAACGCGAGTAGAATTAGTCAATTGTCGATTAACCAATGAGGGTACAGCCCCTATTCTTAGACATGTGTTCATACTCCTATCCATTATTATATTTTTTATTAAGATTTTTTAATAGCATATTCAAACGATCACAAGAAAACTTTTACCTATTAAAACGATTGTACTGTAGGACCAATTTCAGATTTCTGAGATAGATTGTAGTCCACTTATCCCTTTAAAAAATCCAAGAACTTGACTTGACACTTGGACATAGCTAAGTTTCCATCACATAAAGCCAAAGCCCCAAGAATACGGCAAAAGCTAGAAAAGAATCAACGACCCAATCCAAACGAGGTATTCCTGTTCGGTTTAAGCCAACCAAATCGAGCATCCATTTGATAGTAATTTTGCTCGGGTTTTGCTACTTTTCATTAGGATCAATAAAGAATAATTAATAAAAAATATAGAATGGAGTTTGAAAGTCCAAGAAATTGACTTGCCACAAGACAGTTTCTTATTTCGTATAGACCGAATAACCTACCAATAAATCACGTTTCAATCCTTTATTAAAATTATTCCACACCGCACATGGAGGATTGAAATCGTATTTTATAGACAGAAAATCCCAATTTTATATAATATGAAGCCCAAGTCCCAAAGAAAACGGTAAAAAAAAAAAAATCATAGGTGGATTTAGATCGGTCAAAACTCTTTCCATACTGTATCTTTTCAGGCATAAAACGAGATCCGGTCTCCAACAGTATATACCGACGGCAAAGAGATCAATTGTCGGTGGACTCTCTCCAAACTCCAAAGCATCTGAACAAGCAAGCTTTGGGTAATGGTTCTCTTCTTCACAGGAACTTCGTATCTTCAGCCCTCAAAACTTCCTTTGGTTCTATTTCAATTGTCCTTGGTTTTCTTATTGCTAGTCCCTTGTTCCAATTCATTATCCTTCAACATTTCCAGTTTTGACCAAAAACCACGAGACATAGTGTTGACAGGAGATGCAAACTTCTCCAAAAATGGCGTTGAGCTCACCAATAACCAACAGAACTCCCGAGGTCGAGCTACATATAAAGATTCGGTGCGTCTCTGGGACAAGGAAACACGAAATCTCACGGACTTCACCACCCGTTTCTCGTTAACCATTGCGACGATAAATAACTCCCTTCCTGCTGATGGGTTGGCTTTCTTCCTCGCCACATCAAACGGTTCTGAGCCCCCTCCAAATTCAGCAGGTAGCTGTCTTGGTCTTCTCACTTATGACGATTATCTCGATAAAGTGTGCCTCAACAACACAGACAATCAACTCATTGCAGTAGAGTTCGATACTTATTGTGACGACCGTGTCGATCCACTATACAATCATGTGGGTATTGATCTCAATTCAATTAAGTCTGTGGAAACTACTCGATGGTATGGTACTATTACGAATATAGGAAGCACAGTTGATGTTCGGATTACCTATAATTCTAGCACACAAAATTTGAGTGTTTTCTTGGCATATCCTGAAAAGCCAGTAGCCATTAGCAATGGGGACCCTGACCTTTCTTATAAAGTTGATATGAGGAAGTTCTTACCCGAATGGGTGACTATTGGGTTTTCTGCTGCTACTGGTCTGGGGGGCTTGGAGACCCATCAAATTCATTCCTGGGAATTCTATTCGAGTATGGAAGTAGAGACAAAGAAGACGAATTCGAGTATGGAAGTAGAGAAAAAGAAGACAAACAATACAAGATTGTTTGTTGGACTGTTTGTTGGTGCAGGTACTTTGATGGTTTTGGGCACTATATTTATATGGCTTACCATGCGTATGAAGAGAAAGAGGGACACAGAAGAAGTGGAAGATGATGATGATGATTCTATGAATGATGAATTTGAAAAGGGAGCTGGTCCTAAAAGGTTCTTGTATGGTGAATTGGCTCGGGCGACAAATGACTTCCATGAAGAACAAAAGCTTGGAGAAGGAGGGTTTGGAGGTGTTTATAGAGGTTTACTGAGTGATGTCAACTTGGAGGTGGCCGTCAAGAGGGTCTCCAAAAGGTCTAAACAAGGGATAAAGGAGTATACATCTGAGGTGAAGATCATTAGCCGATTACGACATAAAAACTTGGTCCAACTTGTAGGGTGGTGCCATCAACGAAAGGAGTTTCTCCTTGTGTATGAGTTCCTGCCCAATGGGAGTCTTGATTCCCATCTTTTTGGACAGAAGGAATCACTAACATGGAAGGTAAGGTATGATATTGCTCTTGACTTGGCCTCTGCACTTCTCTATTTGCAGGAAGAGTGGGAACAATGTGTTTTTCATAGAGACATTAAATCAAGCAATGTTATGTTAGACTCTAACTTTAATGCAAAACTTGGGGATTTCGGGTTGGCCAGACTTGTGGACCATGGCCAACGAGCACAGACAACTGTGTTGGCTGGCACCATGGGTTACATGGCTCCAGAATGTGTTATAACTGGCAAGTCTAGCAAAGAATCAGATGTCTACAGCTATGGAATTGTTGCTCTGGAGATTGCTTGTGGAAGGCGGCCTGTTGAACCAAGGCTAGAATCGAGTAAGGTAAGATTGGTGGAATGGGTATGGGAGCTCTACGGAAGAGGAATGCTATTTGAAGCAGCAGATTCTAGACTTAAAAATACGGGTTTTGATGAAAAACAAATGGAGTGTTTGATGGTTGTTGGGCTATGGTGTGCTCATCCAGATTCCAACCTCCGACCCTCCATAAAGCAAGCGATGCAGGTTCTTAATTTTGAAGCTCCATTACCCACTCTCCCGCCTAAGATGCCGATACCCACTTATTGTGTCCCCCAATTTAATGCATGTGATCATTCGAATTCATCTGATGTTGTGTTCCCTTCTACTAATTCTTGTACTATATCTCTCATGTACCCACGCTAAGTGAAATTTTAATAAATTATGTTGTATTGACATTAATTTTCTGTATTGTTTTTTATGTTTTCCTTTGTTTATTTAAGTGTGGCTCATGTATTATAGGTAGGGGTGTCAGTTGGACTGGATTTGGTCCAATCAGATCCAGTCCAATGTGGGTCCAATATAAATGAACCGGGTCCAATTCAAACCAATAAATGCTTTGGACCAATCTGGACCTGTCCAATTCAATGCCTGGACCATCTTGTCTGTTCAAATTCATTTTTTATTTAAATTGGTTTCAACCTAAACGCAGTCCATTGACACATGTATTCTTATCTTAGATCAATGGACCACGTATTCTTTTAATTCAAACCAATCCAATATAAATTTGTTACGAATGGACCAGGTCCAGTCCAATTTAATAAATAATTTAGACTGGATTGGTCCAATCCAATATGCCTTGTTGGTCCATCCAATTTGTTCAAATTGATTTATTGACACCCTTAGTTATATGTTTATAAAAATAAATGAAGTTTTAATTTTCTTTATACAGTTTCCCAATTATTCGATTTGCAATGTTGATTAGGATTGTAGTTAACGATTATTGAAAGAAATTAAATGAAAAATCTATCTTAGAGTTTCTTGGTAAAAATTTTATTTACATTTAATAAAGGATTTTCGGCTCTAACAACTCTTGTACTTCGCAAAAAAGCCACTTATAATCTGAGGGGCTAATTTAGACCTCGGACTAAGTTGAAAGGGACACCGTTAGCCTAAAAATACATGGTGTTAGTGACACAATTTACAAAATAGTGTATTGTTAAATCAAAAAATTGAAAAATTATAAATGAATTCCATTGAATAAAATAAACTATTTAATGTAGAATTAATAAATATTGAAAATAATATAAGTGGGTTCCACTTGAACTTTCCTCTATTTAGAAGAAAAATAGTTGGTGGGCTCCATTTGAATTTCCTCTTTGAATGGAAAAACAATAGGTGGGACCTACTTGAAATTTCCTCTCTACCCCTCTCTCTCTCATTCTTGGCCCAATCTCCCTCCTATCTTCTACCTGCTTTCCACATGCCACCTTCGCTGCAACTCTCAGCAGCGGTTGAAGATTAACCCAAGCCTATTACTGAGAGTTAAACAAGCCTAAAAGTGGTCAGTATCTAGACGATACAAACCAAATTTTGAATGAGACATCTGTGGTTCGCTCCAATCTAGTTTCTGTAACACTGTTTTTTTGGCCCAGTTTGGTAACCTTTCTATCCAATTACTAATCACAAAGACAATAAATTGAAAAGGGTTTCAAAATCTTGAAAAGAAAGACAGAAAATCTGAGAGGGAGAGAGAGAAAGAGGCAGCCCTTCCATCATGTTGTCAATAAAACCTGGTGTTGAACAACTCCTCATCCAAGGTCATGGTGGAAGCTTCTACAACCTTCTATTCGCTCTCAACCATCGGCACCTGATGAGAAGACAAGGAGGTGGAAGAATCTGTCGCAAGCCTAAAAGACTCATCAGTAGCCTCAAGAGCCGCTGCCTATACATCAACGACCAATGGTGATTTGGCACAAGGCAGAAGCCAAGAAGAGTTAGGAAAGTTGAGCGAATCAATGGTGATTTGACTCTAGCACTCTGGTAATGAAGTTTGGAGTTCTAGAGTCATTTGGGGGGTGAAAGAAGGCCTATTTCACGGAAAAGAAGCTTGTTTTCCCCCTTTAATATATAATTGTATCAAAGAGGAAACAACAATTCTTAACTGTAAATGGTATAAATGCACATAAACATAATTATATCATTATTACTTTGGGAAATTAAATCATAGCAATAAGGGGGCGTTCTTTTTTTGGATTTTGAGAGGGGAAAGTTGGTCTATGGGATTTTGGTTCCCATTGACCAAGAAATCCATGTTCATTTTTCAGATTTATGTGGGGATCAGTGAGTTTATTTTCTTGTCTATCACTTATCCGGGTAAGTGATACCCATCTCCTAGGTGTGTAAGTTAACTTTCCCATCTAAGGAAAAGTTGCCAATACTTGGATGGGACAAAAATGCCCCTTTTAATAATGAAATTTTTATGGCTAAGATGGTCATTTCCTTATTAACATGAAAAATAAAAGAACATGAGTAGATGCACTTACCCGGGTAAGTCGCTCTTAGGAAACACTTACCCAGGTAAGTGACTTACCGAAAAGCAAACGGGGCATAAACTATTTGTAACACATTGCCAAAAAATACATTTTTTAATACATAGAACCCACTTGAGTCCATATATGTCAAGAGACCCAGCTAAATATGACAAACTTGAATTATATATATGATAATCACCTTGTTTTTAGTGGAAGAGACTATTATTCTTTGGGTCAAAAGTCAATTTCTGATAAAATTCTTGTGGGAGTGCAGCTTTATTTGGGTCACCAAATAAACTTTTCTTTACATACCTTACCTATTAACATGAATAACATTTTGAAGAAGGCCAATCTAAGGGGGCATTCTTTTTTTGGATTTCCAGAGGAGGGAAAGTTGGTCAATGGGATTTTAGTTCCCATTGACCAAGAATCCCATGCTCTTTTTTCAGATTTATGTGGGGATCAGAGAAAGTTTATTTTTCTAGGTATATCCATCTCCTAGGTGGGTAAATAACTTTTCCACGTAGGGGGAAAGTTGCCAATACTTGAATGGGACAAAAGTGCACTTTTTAATAATAGATTTTTATGGCTAAAATTGTCATTGCCTTATTTACATGAGAAATAAAAGAACATGGGTAAATGCACTTACCCAGGTAAGTGTTTCCCAAGAAAAACTGGTAACTGCATTTATCCGGATAAGTAACTTATAGAAAAGTGAACGGGGCCTAAGAAGAAAAAGAAAGAGGTCAACTTGATCCTAAAATTTAATAACTTAATCATATTGATAAATAATCAAATAACATTCAAAAAGAAGTAGGGTGGGAGAGAGAAGCTAACTCTTTAGTAAATGAGAAAGACAAGCAAGTTATCAAAGTTATCAAGAGTAAGAGCCAAATTCTAATGCCTCTATATACCCATCAACATGTATCATGTAAGAAGAGATAAAAACATAAGTTATTATATATATAATAATGCATCCACCCACAAGCATTACATTCATAAGCTTATGTTCCCATCACAATATCATGTGCAGAGAGAGTTACATGCATATGATATGAACATATCTATAACCAACACTCACCTGAATCTTGGTTGTTTCATTTTTTTATCAATTTCTTTAGAAATGTCTAAGAAAAATTTCCTCTTCTCTTCCAAGTTATACCTCAGAATCTCCTCAAAAAGCTTTGTTTTTTTCAAAATTTATAAACCTCACATTCATTCAAATTTGTATAAGGAATATTTAATATCAATTCTAAGGCCCCATTCACTTTTCAGTAAGTTATTTACCTGGGTAAATGCAATTACTTGGGTAAGTTTTTTTCTAGGAAATTTATCGATGTTCTTTTATTTCTCAGGTAAATAAGGCAATGACCATTTTAGTTATAGAAATTCATTATTCAAAGAGGCATTTTTGCCCTATAAGTGTTGGCAACTTCCCCCTATGTGGGAAAGTTATTTACCTGCCTTGGAGATGGGTATAACTTTCCTGCGTAAGTGATACCCCCCGCTCCCCACATAAAGCCGAAAAAAGAACATGTGATTCTTGGTCAATGGGAACCAAAATCCCATTGACCAACTTCCCCCCTCTCCAAATCCAAAAAAAGAATGCCCCCTTAGACAAATCGCAAGGTAATAACATGAGACTATCTAAACATGCAATGAGGCAATTAGGTAATCCAGCAATGAACCAATTCTTCTTGAGATTTGTGCTCACATTGTCCTACTGTGTAGTCGATTAGGCGACCATGTAACCAATTATAAGTGAACATGTCAGTTTGCAGCGGCCTACAAATACACAGCCGTGCGAGAAGCCTATGTACTCAAACATCAAATTGCTACGGTGAGGTTATTAGTTATTTTGCAACTTAGTTTTGGATCAATGCTTTCAAAACCAATCCCGAGGCTGAATCGTTTTATAAATAAATAATTTATGATTATTTCGCATAAGTAATATATATGTATATAAGCATTACTTTATGTTTAACTTATACTTTTTTATTTATAAAAATGAAAAATGCTCACAATTCAGGTTTGAGGCTAAAAAGAGGGGTCAATAGTTACCCAAATTAATATAGAGATCACCCCAATCCGACAAATGAGTACAAATTAAATTATACAAAGCTTTTAGTAAATAATCTATACCTGATGATTGACTAGGTCCAACAGATTTATGGTTCTTTGACCAAATCAATAAAATTTTGGTCAGAAGCAGATTTTACTAAAACAAGCCCAAAACATGGCCGAATGACAGTTTGAACAATTCAATGGTTTGAACGAATCAACCATTGGGGTTAACGATGAAAAAACATTGATTTGGATATTTATCTAATTAATTATCATCTAGAGATTACAATAGAAAACAATTGATGCGTGGGAGACCGGGAGAGACTACTTAGAATAGAAAACAATTGCTAATTAAGTGCAAGTTGGTTTCTTTTATGTTTTTTCTTTTCGTTTTTAGTTACTAACATAATGGCAAATTGGCAAGTGGAAATTTGATTTTAAGTAACTAAATAAAAATATTTAAATTTTGGGTGATGATTCAATTGGGGCGCGAGTCCTATAATGTTCTTCATTAATGGAATAGGACTAGGGAACCTGTGCATCCTACGGGTGACTGCTACTATAATAAGATGCTGTTGACAAGATAATGAGATATCGACGAAGGGCCATTCTCATACTCATAGTAGTGTAGCTAAAGGAGCACTTACTACTGCTTAGAGCATGGATAGAAATAGATGTTTGAATAAGCACTTTTCGTGGATGTTTGTTTTAATACTAGCGTCGCTTCAGTTTCAAGGGTTATTTGGGTGCATAGACAAGGAAATAAAGGGTCTTTTAGAACTCAAGCAAGCTTTCATAGAGGGTCTAAATATTACTGTAAGTGTGGAATGGGAAGCTGAAGAGGGAGGAAATAACGATTGTTGTGGTTGGAGAGTAGTCAAGTGTAATCCCAGCACGGGGCGAGTCACCCACCTCTTCTTGAACGAAACATTGTGGAATTACAGTTTTCCTTCCCAAATCTACTTCAATCTAAATGCCAGCTTGTTTCTTCCCTTTGAAGAGCTTCAATATCTCGATTTGTCAGATAATCATATTCAAGGCTGGCTCGAAGGCACAGGTCATTCATTATTTCACTACTTCTTCTGATCCAACATTTCATCTTTTTGTTTTCGATCACTTCTATCTTTCCCATAAGTCGAACCTGCTCTCTATATCTTGATCATGCCGTTCGGATACGTTTCGGAAAGCTTGGTCGATTCTAACCAGCTCAACAATGGATCAAGAAATCGACGGAGTTTTAATTTAGCACCAATAATTTGCAGAGACCGGGATTTCCAATATCCAATATTTCTCAAGTTTAATGCATGTAGATTTATTAACTACTAAGCGTGTATGTTTTTTTTTCTGTAATATCCCCCTGCAGGCTTTGAAGAGTTGGCTCGACTGAAAAAGCTTGAGGTCTTGGACTTGAGTTTGAATAGATTCAATAACGGCATGCTGCCGTCTTTGGGTGCTCTCACATCCCTTAAGAAACTCTCTTTTAAGTTCAACGACCTGATGGATTCCTTTCTTGCGCAAGGTATGTAGATGTTGGTTTCTCTTTTCTTTTTAAAATCTTAAATTTCTCAATGGGATTCCTGCGATCCTCGTTGATTTGCCGTGGCCACATATGTTTGATTGGTTTTTGAAGCGGAAAGCGGGAATTCGTTCATCTCGGCAAAATAAGTCCGTATATACAGGATGTGAGAGGAGATCAGTACGTAAGGGCTAAGTATATCAGTTCATATATCCTAGAAATGAATTCAGCCTTTCACAAGATATTCGAGTTGGGCTCATGAAAAGTTTGATTAAGCTTGGCCTAAATCAAGTCTCAAGCCGAATTTAATATATTGACTCATTTTTAATCGAGTAAAGCTCAAGCCTAATATAATTAGGCTTACAAGGCTTAGGAGCCTAATCGAATTTAGGCTCGATTATAATATATATATATATATATATATATATATATAATTATACATTTAAAAAATAATACACATAAATATATAAATAAAAATGAAAAAATTATATATAATATTTTTAATTTATATATAATAATAATAATAACTAAGCTTTATTAGTTATACACTTATATGTATAATTGTAAAAGCATCGTTGAAAAAAGTTTGCAAGCAGATCTTATCTTCTTTTTGAAAAATATGCACTGTCTAGATGTCACGGTGAGAACCAACTGGTCCCAGTTGGTATGTTAGTTGGATAGTCCTAGTCCCGCGATTACCACATTTAGGAGTATTCATTATACGATTCAAACTGTAAAATCGAATCAAATCAAACCAAATTTATAGTTTGGTTCGATTTATAACTTAAATCAGATTGATGTGATTTGATACTTTTTTAAATTGTGGTTTATGGTTTTAATTTGGTTTATTGGATTTTATAAACAAAAAACATATAACCAATAAACCAATACCATAAAAGTAATAACCAATCAACCAGAAATATTCACCCTGGATTTTAATTGGTGAAAGCTCTTCCACTTTTATACCTTTTCGGCATCATAAATTTACCGAAAATTCTAATAAACAAAAAAGATATGCAATTCACGAACACCTCGCTCTAGAGATGGGGCCACCAACTATCATGGCGTTTTAACAAAAGTGCGTTGTGGAGGTTACTTTCTCTCCTTAAGTGAAAGCACTTTTTCCCCTGGATTTTGGATGCATTTTAATGTATACTTGGTACATCTATTCATAATTTGTTACATTAAGCCTTTTAATATTCAAATTCTGGTCCTCTTATTCTTTTAAATTTGTTTTGCTAATTAATTCAGAACTGGTGAATCTGATCAATTTGGAGGTTCTTGATTTGAGTGTGAATCAGCAGCTTAGTGGCTCGAATTTATTGCAAGGTATATGAAAAACTCTTTTCTTGTTGGGTATATAAATGATGATGCATTGATGCATACTCCATTTTCAAAATTAAATTACTTTACATATGCAAGAAAAGAGATTAATCTCCAAAGTAGATCTAATAGAGGCATGACCTAATACTTTTGAGGGTAAAATACAAAAACCTCCCCTGAAGTTTCCGACAATCATAAAAACTTTTCAGGCATCAACAAAAACCTCTTTTAATGATCATTTTAGTAATTTTATATACAAAATTACTGAAATGTGTTTTTTTGTTGAGTTAAAATGGGATTGTTTCAGTAATTTTATATGTAAAATAATTTATAAAAGGATAGAATGGGTATTTGGAAAAAACTGTTGCATCAATCTAACGTTTTCCGTCTGGAACAGTGACAGAATGGAGGTTTTTGTTGAATTTCTCAAAAGTTCAGGGGAGATATTTGTTAAATCCACCTTTGACATTTCAAAGAAATACACAAACAGATCCCTTCCATTTTCACTAATTTAATGCTAACAACCTAACCAAAAAATGATGATGCATGTCATATTTTTAACCACTTTAAATTTTCCAATTGTTCCTTAAATGATAATTTGATAATATTGGAGTATTTATAAACAAAATACCATAAAAAGGAACTTTAAATTTTATTGTTTATTGAAATATGTAAAAGAGACCTTTGAGGTATTTTTGGTGATTAAACAATTTACCAATTGATAGACACTCCAATATTGTCATTTAGGCTAAGTTTGGAAGGAGTACAAATATAAATATGTAAAGTGTAAAACCTTGTATTTTGTATGTATTTGCACTCTACATATGTATTGGTACTCCTTCCAAACTGAGCCTTATAGGCAAATGGGCAAATGAGGAAATTTAAAATGTTAAGTCAAACCAAAAAAAGGAATCTGCTTGCTGTATGATTCCTCCAAAATGTCAAGGGTGGAATTTGAAAGCATTTGTCAGAAAACATAAGGGAGATTCAAGTAATTCACCCCTAAATATTTATAAAAAGATTGCAACACAATTCTAAGCCAGTGTAGACATCATATTCAAAAACAAACAATTTAGGCTAAGTTTGGAAAGAGTACAACTACAAACATATACAGCACAAATACATAAAAAATAATACAAAATACAAGGTTTTGACTCTACAAATTTGTACAAGTTCTACTCCTTCCAAACCGAGCCTTATTTTTGATTAATTTTCTTTATGCCTAGGTGAAAAGTATATGCTTGCTTAATTATAAACCTCATAGGCTTAATTTACAATCTTAGCAAACTTACTTGTAGAATTGAAATTGCTTTATTTGAATTTGGATTTGCTCCAAATTAGTGTGCGAGTACTATGCATATGCATCTTGTATGTGTTCAATGCCATCTCCAGCCCAACCTTTTTGCCTTGATTCATTTGCAGCCCTATCTTAAAAATAATATACACTTAATTCACTACTGCTCTGCAGGGTTTTGTGAACTGAAGAACCTCCAAGAGTTGAATATTGGTTACAACAACTTTGGAGTAACTACTAGTACTGTACCTCCATGTTTCAACAACTTGACATTTCTTAGAAGGATAGATATCTCCAGTAATCAATTTAAAGGAAACATTCCATCTTTCATAACTAGTCTTACATCACTGGAGCACATCCTTCTTAGTGATAATGAATTTTCGGGTTCATTCTCACTCAGCAACTTTGTCAACCATTCCAAGCTACAAGTCATTGACCTTGGAGACAACAGGCTACAAGTAGAAGAAGAACATCCACATGCGACTCCTACCTTTCAGTTGAAAGAGCTGTATTTAAGAAATTGTACTCTTCACTCCGGTGTTGTTCCAAGATTTCTCTATAATCAATATGACTTACGAGTGCTTGATCTCTCCTATACCAACTTAAAGGGAACAATCCCCACCTGGATTTTGAAGAACAATACCATGTTGGAACAACTACACCTGAAGAAAAACTGGCTAATTGGCCATTTTCATCTTCTATCTCGTTATCCCAAGCTAATTGCTGCAGATATCTCCGACAACAGCATTGATGGGCAGCTTCAACAAAATATCGGTGAGGTGCTTCCAAACCTGTTATTTTTAAATTTATCAGCAAACTCTATTGATGGTGGCATTCCTCCCTCAATTGGTGACATGAGAAAATTGGCGACTCTAGATTTGTCTAATAACAATTTGACCGGAGTAATACCAGAGCACTTGGCCAAAGGTTGCACCATGTTAATGGCTTTGATACTATCAAACAATAGATTGCATGGAGAAATATTTCCACCGTATTTTAATATGACCAGGTTACGGACGGTGAAGTTGAATAATAATTCTTTCGTGGGGAATCTGAGAGATAATGGATTGTCCAACTCTGGTCAACTAAGTATGTTGGACATCAGAAACAACCAGATATCTGGTAGCATTCCCGGCTGGATTTCCAACTTCTCATTTATGGACACTCTTATCATGCGAGATAATCATTTCCAAGGAAAAATCCCAACTGAACTCGGACAATTGGAATTTCTTCAATTTCTAGACCTTTCTGGGAACAAACTCATGGGAGCCTTACCTTCTTCTTTCTTGAGACTACAGTATTTAAAATATGTAAACTTGCAAAGAAATGAATTCACAGGATCTCTGCCAGTTAATCTTCTCAGAAATTCATCTTCGTCTTTGATTGCACTGGAAATGAGTAATAACAACTTCTCTGGTAGTATTCCCAGTATGATCAGCGAGCTTTCTGAGCTGCATATTCTTCTGTTGAAGGGAAATAACTTGAATGGTCCAATTCCGTATCAATTATGCCAGTTGAAGAAGATAATGTTGATGGATCTTTCCCATAACACCTTTTCAGGGACAATACCCCAATGCTTCAGTAACATCAACTTCGGGAGTAAAGATGACACAGAAAATCCATTTCAACAGATAGTACAAGGCTATCGTTTGGAGAAATTAAACATATTCTATGTACAGTACTCCATGCAAGAAGAAGTGGATTTCACAACAAAGAGAAGGTCTGGATCTTACAAGGGTGACATTCTTAACTACATGTCTGGGTTGGATCTCTCCTGCAACCAGTTAACAGGTAAAATCCCCAATGAAATAGGAAATCTAGGTGGGATTCGTGCATTGAACTTCTCTCATAACCAGCTTACCGGATCAATCCCGACAACCTTTTCAAAGCTAAGGAACATAGAAAGCTTGGACCTTTCCTACAATAATTTGAGTGGATCAATTCCTTCGGAACTGACGGAGCTAAACTCTTTGGCTGTCTTCTCTGTGGCTCATAACAATTTATCTGGTAAGACACCAGACTTTAAATCACAGTTTGCGACGTTCGACAACAGCAGCTACGAAGGAAACCCTTTGCTTTGTGGACCTCCATTACAGAATAAATGTACCAACAATGGAGAATCATCAGACCCTGTGCCAGAAAAACCTTCAGGTGAAGATGAGGAGAACGACAGTGGCATTGATATCGCTGCTTTCTCAACAAGTTTTGTGGTTTCATACATCATGTGCTTGTTGGGACTCATGACTATTCTATACGTGAATCCTTACTGGAGGAGGATGTGGTTTGATTTCATTGAAGTGCGAATTCGTTCTTGCTATCACTTTATTACCAATGTTCTGAAGTAGAGGAATATATTAATTAAACTCGGTTTCCTTGCTATATTTCACTTGTTTTGTTCTCTTAATAAGAAGGCTCACAATGGTGCCATGATCTCCTGTTTACATTGAGCCATTGATAGGTAAACATAAGTAAGACCAAATTAAACGAATATCCGTGCATTCAGTAGGTTGGTTTCGCTAAACCACTTGGAAATATTAGATGATGATAAATATTCAAAAAATTTATTCATGGAGAGTTGTTCTTGGCATATAAATGGTTGGATCTTGATCTTTCACATGAACCGAGATCACTTAAATGGTTGAGATCAAAATTGGAATTTAAAAAACCCATAAACCAGATCAAATTAATTGTTGGATTTATAGTGTGAGTTATTGGTGGGGCATTCAGCTAACCCGAATTCTTTAACCTGTAACGTTAAGGGAAGAAAAACGTCAATAAGGGAAGTGGGTGTGGGTTATCTCTGTTCCTCAAAAGGCCCCTTCCTTGGTGCGTTCTGTTTGTGGCGTCCAGTGCTTTCTCTAAAAAGGACACAACACAACGGGTCTCTAAACCAAAACATATGTGAAGTTGCAAGAAAACCGGTAAACGTACAACAATTCAGATAAAGAGTATAGTTTATCGACAGTTTCTTCCTTGAAAGTTCAGTTTTGCTCCCAAAGAAGATGGGTACGCCCATGAAATCCTTTCGGTTTTTAATCTTTATTCACAGTTTTATAGGTTTCTGAATAGTTATAAAGTGAGATTAAGAAAGCTACGTACCCATCTAAAGAAGCTGAATAAAATGGTTAATAGCAAATGTTAAGTATGTAATTCCAGAGTTCAAAGTCATGGGTTGCAGGGAGGAAGAGGGGCGGTGAGTTGCATAAAGCAGAGAGGGAAGAAGAAAGCCGAATCCGTTTGTTTAAGATTTGGGCGGGTTAACAAAATTTAAATTATTTTTTGGAGTCCAGGCTGCCGTTAGTTCTGGACTCCGTTTGTTTGATTTGGGAGAGAAGTGACGTGTTGGAATCCTATTGGGGGACAGACGATGCAAGCCCTCTTTGTTAGGGGTGCAACTTGGGCGGGCCTATCCTGAGCCCGAACCCGCCCAAGCCGAAATTTTATAAGGGCTAGGCTTGGACTTTTGGTCTCCGGGCTGGGCTTCGGCCTAATTATATATATATATATATATATATATATATATATATATGTGTGTGTGTGTGTGTGTGTTTGTGTATATATGTAAATATTGCATATATATTTACATATATATTCATACATATTTGTATATATAACATTTGCATAGATATTTTGTATATATATTTTAGAGTAAGTTCATTGATCAATTTGAGCCCGGCCCAGGCCCAAGCCCAATCCGAATGCATCAAATTATAAAGCAGGCTGAACTCGAATTGGAAAATTTGGGTTTGACCTCAGACTCAGGCCTTAAGCCCAAATTTTAGAACCGGGCCTGATTTGACCATAAACCCGGCCCAACCCGCCTGAATTGCACCTCCTACTCTTTGTAAGTGCCATATTGCAATATAGTCAAAATCCATGGGATGTACAAATTTTGTTGAGTGAAAATTTAAGCAAGAGGTGCCTTCTGAAATGATAAGCTAATCCAAGTCTACCTTAAGCATTATTTTCAGTGTCTTTGAAAATATTGGTGAAATAAAATTAATGGTGGAGAAAAGAAATTAAAATATTGGCGGAAAAGTGAAATCTAATGTGTTTTAGAATGTTGTAGTGCTGGAAACATTGGAAAACTTTATTTCCCTTTTACCAAGTGAGAATCATTTCGAGGGTTAGAATTTACTGTCAAGATAGGTACCAGTTCAGAATTAATTCACAGGTCAACATTGACGCATAGAGTGTGGGTTGCGGTCCTTTTAAATGTTCATAGCTCTACAGCATAAATCAGAAATTTGCATTGAGCAATTCCATACTTGATATTTTTTTTAGATATATAAATTACAAAGTGGGTACTTAACTACTTTTGCTTTTAATTTTTTATTGTTTTTGTTTTTTATAGGACGTGGTTTTAAATCAAAAATCGTCATTTACGATTTCAATGAACAAGAGGAAAGATCCCCGCCACGCATCCGAGGGTCACTGCAAATATAAAATATTAGGGGATGTATGTCTTAATATCAAATTAAACTATGCATTTGACAACAAGATATATACCGATGGAAGAGAGAGAGAAGAGCAGAGCCAGCCAAGAAACCAGGTGACGACGACATGACGAGATATTTCGATAATAAGTGCTTTTCATGGATGTTTGTACTAGCGCTTCAGTTTCAAGGGTTGTTTGGGTGCTTCGACAAAGAAAGAAACGCCCTTTCACAACTTAAACATGATTTCATGGCAGGTCTAAACATCAGTAGAAGCCTAGAATGGGGTGATGAGATTCAGGAGGGAGGAAGTGTCAGACGACGAATTTTGTGGTCGGAGAGTAGCCAAGGTGTAGTCCCGCCAAAGAAATCCTTATTCTTCTCAAAATAATCTTTTAATGGCATCTTTAAACAACCCAGCAGATTCGGTAAAGGGAAAATAGGTTTGTCTTTCTTGCTGAGCAGCAGCAACAACAATTCCAATCACAATAACAATAATAGTTTTAACAACAGCAACAATTCCAACAACAGCAGCAACAGTATGACAACAACAATAATATCAACAACGACAACAGTGCCAATAGCAGCACCCCGTGGCACCAAATCAGCCAAATCCGCATGACGGTCAGCAGATACCACAAGACAGTTAGCTTCTTAACAGCCAACAGATCCTGTTCAACGATCAATACATTCCGAAGAATAATAACCAGGAGATCCCGAGGAACAGTCAACAATTCCCTCCACAGAATAATAACTTGAATTAAGAAGACCCACCTCGCCCATGAAATCCCAAACAAAGAAGACGCGGTAGCCTGGAACGAGCAGGTACCTACAGAGTGCCAAGTCGAGGTTCATGCTGAAACCAATGCAACTTGTTCCACTGAATGCACCAAGAGGAAAAAGCATATGCACCGCACAGAGAGAAAAATACAGCTCCCCTGCATTAACAATGAGGCCCAACCTAGAGAGAGCAGTGTAGCAATCAATAAGATGGTTTCCCTTTTAGAACAACCTAGCCTGACTCGCAAAACTCCACTCGCACTACAAATTCTTAAAGTGCCGCAAAACTTTCAAGCTCCCACTTTGGAGTCTTACCGGGGAAAGACAGACCCGGTAGAGCATGCAAACAACTTTCAAAACCTTATGCTCCTTTACGGAGAAAACGACACCAGCATGTGCATCGCATCCCCCTCCACACTGAAGGAGGAAGCATGGCTTTGGTATTTGGGATTACCACCAGGATCCACCAAAAACTGGGATCAGTTCGCCAAACTCTTCATTAACCAATTTGCCACCAGCAAGCGACACTCAAAATCAACAACATGCCTATTCAACGTTGTCCAGAAGCCCAATGAGACGCTCAAGAAGCATATTCGAAGGTTCAATATGGAGCGATTGCGAATTTCGAACCTGGATCACATCGTATAGCTCATAGCAGCAAATAAAAGTGTCAAGCATCGCGAACTAAAATGGGAGCTTGAATTGCATCCACCAGCTACCAAGGAAAAGTTCCTTGACGTAGCTCACGACTTCATCAAGGAAGAAGAGGTAGTAGGAACAGAGTCTAAAACAACGGGGAAGAGGAAACAAACTAAAGAAGAGGAAAGCACAAGCAGGACTAGGCAAAGAAGCAAGTCGCCGAAGAGTAGTGAGATACTTCTTCTTACTTTCTTGCATCACACCCAAAGATGAACTTGTTATGGATGATTCAAGGGGACTACTCTCTTCATTAGGAGTGGATGACGTATCATAATTTGCATAAATGCCGACTTGTATCTTAGATCAAGAACCGCTGCTACTACCAAAGGTAAATTAAACTCATCCCAATATTTCTTGAACTTTCCCAACATTTTCCTAGCCATTGCTTGAATATAATCATACTTTCTCAATAGCCATTCATTAATTTGCACACGAATCTTACAAATATCGGGAAAAAACATGTTGGGTGTTGGATATTTAGTCCCTGAAAATGCATTAGTTGCCTCATAAAAATGTTCCAAACATTCACAAACAACTTGGCCAATATCCCACTCCTCAGAATATGGATTAAATGTATATTCTTTATCAATTCGTTCTAATCGAGCAAATTGATTTTTTAATGATTCTCTAATTTTTCTTATCAAGTGTTTAACAACATCCAACCCATCTTGCACAATGAGGTTCAAAACATGTGTTGTGCAATGCATATGAAATAATTCCACTGACAAAAGAAGTTTACCCAACCCAGAAAACCACTCTTTCATGTTTCTAATTACAACATCATTCACAGAAGCATTATCAACAGTGAAAGCCACCACTTTACTATCAAGGTTCCAATGCAAAATAAGATCTTTGATGACTCTAATAAGGTTTACAGCATCATCATTCTCTCTAACAGCTCAAAAACCTATAATCTTCTTTCTCAATTGCCACTTATCATCAATGCAATGAGCAGTTAAACAACAATATTCAATATTTTGCCCTAATGTCCACATATCAGTAGTGAGATTAACCCAAGAATCAAGCCTATCAAGAATGCCATAAAGTTTCTCTTTCTCATCCTCATAAATTTTCATGCAACCATTCCTATTTGTATTGCATGAAACCATTTTAAACATGAGATTAAAACCATTTTAAACATGAGAATAAAACAAAATTATCTTAGACAGATGGGTTCGACTATGATATGGAAAATATATGATATGGAAAAAATAACTGACCAATAAACTAAAATTACAAACGTGGGAGCAAATAAGGTGTTATTAATCAAAATTCATGGGTTGCTTTTGATTAATCAAAACTCTTTTCATATTATATATTTTCTGTATCATAGATTTCCCCTAGATTATACTAATGACGAGTGGAGGAGTAAGTTTGTATAATAATCATCTTGAAGGTATTCAATGCTACCAGATCCCATGTATGATATGAAAAAACTTCTGACTAATCAACTAGAATCATAAACATGATAACCAATCAGGTGTTATTTATCAAAATTAATGAATGGATTTTGATTGATTAAGACTTCTCATACCATATCTTTTCTGCATCATAGATTTTCCCTTTTAGATAAGGTGAGATTATGTATTGATGTATTGGTATGGGAAAATATCCACTTTTTTCAACGATTGCTAATTCTACGCTACCGGATCCGGTCTGAAACAGTATGTATACCGACAGCAAAGGGGTCAATTGTTGGGTACTCACTCTCCAAAGGGCAAGCTGGGTTTGGGTAATGGCTCTCTGCTACGCAAGAACTTCTCATATCCAACCCCCAAAGCTTCCTTTGGTTCTGTTTCAATGTCCCTGGGTTTTCTTATTGCTAATCACTTGTTCCAATTCATTATTCTTCAACTTTTCCAGTTCCGACGACAAGACAAGAGACAACTTAATATTGAAAGGCAATGCTTCGTTCTCTAAACATGGCGTCGAGCTCACAATAAACCAACGTGACAGTGGCTTGAACGGTAGCGAAAGTCGAGCTATATATAAAGAACCGGTGCGCCTCTGGGACAATGAGACGGGAGATCTCAGACTTCAACACCCATTTCTCCTTTACCATTAATTCATTGAATGACAACAACTTTGGTGATGGGTTGGCTTTCTTCCTCGCACCAAACGGTTCTATCATCCCTCCACAATCGGGAGGTGGCTGTCTTGGTCTTTTCAGTTACGACTTTTGGTTCGACAACAGATCAGAAAATCAACTTATTGCAGTGGAGTTCGACACTTTTTCAAATGACTGGGATCCAGATTACATTCATGTAAGTATTGATGCCAATTCTATTTAAAAATCTATTCTCCATTCAAAATATTTGAATCACAAATACATCTTAATTTCAATTTGATAAATTCTTGATTTGTATAAAAAAATGTTCTCTTCACAATGCAATCAGTTCTAGAGTTAGATTTTCCACTATCTTCTCAATTGCCTTGGGTGCAGAAACAACCTCCCCAGCTTTCTTTACAGCCATGTCCTTTTCAGTAACCAAATATGCATACTCTCCACAGAGTGCTTCCAACTCATCTTTCACAAATTTCAACTCTGTTATGCAGCTATGTACCTGGATTTTGCTACATCAAGCTGTTGCTTTTCTGCAGAACTTGTCTCATTTGCAATCCCTTGTTCTATTTCTGCCAACCTGAGCTTGACATGTTCATTATCTTGTTTTGCCTGCTTCTCTTTAGTTTGTGCTCTCTCTAGGTTCAACTTCAATTCTCCTATTAGTCTCTTGGTATGTCTAGCTCCTCTAGTATTTGAGTCTTTGCATCTTTAGTGGCATCTAACCGTACTCAGGAATCTCTTCTTTTGCCTCCCTTCAGATCCTATTTTACATGCTTTTGCTCCTGTTATACCAAAGAAAAGAAACTTAATGATCAGAAAGCCCAAAGGAAATCAAATGGATGGGAAATTAAATTCTGATCCATTTGTAGACAAATAATGGGTCAATTTCCATGCAATGTTTTATAGACAAATGGATTGAAAATTAAATTCCACATTTTAGTTAAAAGAAATAGGAATGTTTGGAGTAGTAGCTCGGATACATGGCATGAGAGTTTGTCTTAAAAATAGTCAAATACAGCTTGATACAATCTGGCCAGGAGAGGAGATAAAATTGGTATATTTGTTTTTTATGTGAAGAAGAAAAACCTAAGAATCTGTTTCATCCATCCCTCTATTAAAATCGAAAAACAAAAGGACAACTAACAATAGGAGCTGTGTCATAACCAAGACAGCTTGCCTTTCTGTTACAAGTCAATCCAAATCATTTAATTAATGAAGAAAATGTTCGAAAAGTTCCAAGAATCCAAGAAAAATTCGGAAATTTTTCAGCACTAAAGCTGGATTATTATCAATACCAATAATAATGATCATGAGGCAATAACAATAAAATGATAACAGAAATGAAGATAAAGAAATCTCGTACCTCAACAATCTGGCTTCCTTGAATCATAGGCTGTCCTATGATTCAAAAAGCTTTAAAAATAAGGAGAAGGCATGTCGTAATACGACAAAATCTTCCGCTTCCTTGAATAATTGCAGAACAAGGAGCCAAAAAACAAAAAATCTGAGAAGACAAAAATGGTGCCATCTAACAGGAGAAAACCGGTAGACAAAGACCATGTGAAATGTGTAGCTGGATCAAGATCTTGGGATTGGGCAAAATCAACCTCTATAAAGTTGATGAAGCCTGAAAGTGAGCTAGCCATCACAAAAAACTAATTTCCACTCCAACGAAGTACCATTCAAGGTCCTAAGTCAATACATCTGACAAAACCTGTATCACAAAATTCTGCTAATCCGACAAAACCTCTTTGAAGTTGATTAGTCTTGCATGTAAGTATGATTTTATAATTTTTACATATTATGTTATGATATTGAATTCCAAGAATTTTAATGTTCCTTTCTGTGCATCATTGGTGAACTGGAATTTAACCACTGAATCTGTATGTCTACTTGAATCAGCTGGTTACCTGAACTACTATGGATTCAATTCTATTGTCTGATTAAACCAAGGAAATATTGGTGATATTTCTTGTGATTGGTGAACCATCTCCAAAGGTGACTGTTCCCGATTGCTTTTAGTAGACAAAACCAAGGAACTTCTATCTTGTCACTTGCTTACCAACAAAAAGATAAATCGGTTACTAATCAAGTATCAGATAAGTTTGATACTAGATCTGATTGCACTTTATGAATCTCCAAGGGAAACGGAAGAAAGAATATGAAATATCATTTGGTAAAACAACAACCCCCATAAATCTAAAGCTTAGCTACAAAGACTGAATCAGTAAAAAGTAGATAAACATCATTTATTATTCTATTCTTATGTGTTCATAGAGCTGTACCTGGTATATCATAACTTGTAGGGGAATTTCCTTTTCTATTAATTCCTACTCCAAATATAGAACTTCATAGATCAGAACCATTTGATACATTCAAACGGTGTATCATAACAATTAATTCCATGAAATGCTTACTTTCGCTATATGAAAAAAGAAAAAGAAAAAGAAAAAAAATCCGAATTGACATTAAACAGAGACCTACAGACAAAGCAAAATATGAAATTCCATCAAACCCTCACTTTCATTATATAAAAAAATAAACTAATTAAAAAAATCTGAATTGACATAACAGAGACCTGCAGATCTGAGCACAAATGTAGCTTTCATTCAATTATCTTGCTAACCAATTTGGCTATAGCCTACAAGAAGGAATCTGAAATAGGACTGAACAAACAAATTCTTGAAATCTGATAGAGAAGAGATAGCACAAATCCAATGTACTAAACCATTTATGAGTCTGCAATCACTTGAGCCTTTATGCCCTACATGTGCCTTTCATATTCAGACATTTTTTGTAAAGTTGGTATCTTCTTATTTTCCCTAATAATTCAAAGCTAAAACTACCTCTCTACAGCCATTGCTCTCTAAGGCCCTATTTGAAGCCATAATGCTAAGTAGACAGGATCATGACTAACCAACCAAATCCAACCACTAAGACAGTTGTTGACTACAGAGGAACAAAATAACAGCTAGTATAATTTTCAATCAAAATAGAGGAACAAAATAAAAAATAAAAAAAAATAACATAGGAATGCTTAGGAGAAAGCAAGAGAGATCAAGTTTAGTACCTCCTTGAGAAATTGAAATTGTCCTTTAGAGTTCCTCAGTACTTGGACTAACAGAGTAGCATTTATCAAAGAAGACAGCATAAGTGGTGGCAATAATGAAGGAACCCTAACAAATAGAGAAAAAGAGACAAGATAGATCATCAATCATGAAGAGGGAAGAGAGAGAGAGAGATTAACCTGTGAATCAAACGCTGCAGATGTGCCTGAGAGAGAGACTGTGCACGCACGAGAGAGAGAGAGAGAGAGAGAGAGAGAGAGATTTGCTAATGTGAGACCGTGTGTGAGAGAGATAGAGATAGAGAGTGTGGGGTGAGAGAGAGAAGGAGAGAGACGACTGAGCAAGAGAGGGATGACTAAGAGAGAGAGAGAGAGAGAGAGAGAGAGAGAAAGGAGAAAGACAACTAAGTGAGAGAGAGCGAGAAAGGGATGACTGAGAGAAGGGGTGGGAAGAGGCGTGAGGGATGAAGCCTATCTCACACCTTTTTTTTGTAGCGGCAACCATTTGGTCTATAGCGGCAGTTTAATCGACTACCGCTAAAGATCAATATTTATAGTGGCAGTCGCCAAATATGCAAGTCGAAAACTGCCACTAGAGATGTATTTTCTTATAGTGCTACCAACATCATCTCACACCACACACCTTAACTTGAGACTGGGTGAAAAGGAAAGACTCATTCAATTAGGCTGGATTGAATTAGTATAAATAGACAAATTACAGGATAAGATTGTTACAAAATTTAAAATTTAAATAATAGTTACAACAAGATAGGAGTCCTCCATTCTGTAACAAGATTGTTACAGAATTTCAAGGTGGTATGTCATTTGGATGTACTCCTAACATCCCCCCTCAAGTGAAACGGTCGTCTGCAGACTGTGAGCTTAGCAACCAGTTCACAAAAGCGAGTAGTAGGCAAGGGCTTAGTGAGCATATCTACTACCTGCTTGGAGATCGGGATGAAATGAACCACAAGTAAGTTGTTGGCCACACATTCACGAAGGAAATGTACATCGAGCTCAATATGCTTGGCCTTAGAGTGCAGCACTGGGTTGAGTGATAAGTATGTGACGCTAAGGTTGTCACACCACAAAGAAGGAGAGAGGGGAGAAAAGAAACCGAGTTCCTGAAGTAATATCTGTATCCAAGCTAAATCAGAGGCCTCAGATGCCAAGCTACGGTATTTAGATTCTGTAATAGAGCGAGACACTGTGGGTTGCTTTCGGGAGCTCCATGATATGAGGTTGGGACCAAGAAATATGCATAAGCCGCCTTGTGAGCGGCGATCTATTGGGCAGTTGGCCCAATCTGCATCAGATAAGGCTTCCAACTGTAGTGATTTAGAAGGGGTGAAGAAGATGCCATGATCTATCGTACCTTTAAGGTAACGTAGAATACGTTTCACAGCAGCCTAGTGAACCGTGGTGGGTGCCTTCATGAATTGACATATTTTGTGGACTACAAAGGAAATCTCTAGGTGTGTAAGGGTGACATATTGTAATGCCCCTACAATGCTACGATAAAAGTTTGGATCAGGGAGAGGATCCCCTGAGGAAGCATCTAATCGGATAGAGGCTGCCATCGGAGAAGAAATTGGCTTTGCTTCATGCATCTAGGACCGCATCAATAGATCTTGGACATATTTGTGCTGAGTAAGGTGCATTCCTCCTGTAGTGTGATGGAGTTCAAGGCCCAGAAAATAGTGGGCCAGGCCAAGATCTCTCAATGCAAACTGAAAGGAGAGGTGGTTAATAAGAGAAGTTACAATAAAGCCATCAGACACGGTGATGAAAATATCATCCACATAGACTAATACCAGCAAGACATCAGAGCCACACCATTGAGTGAACAAAGACGTGTCAAACTTAGAATCCTTGAAACCAAGCTGAAGAAGAGAGTCACGTAGACGTGTATATCAGACTCGAGGAGCTTGTTTTAAGCCATAAAGTGAATGGTGTAGCTTGCAGACAGTTAAGATTTTGGGGATCCACAAACCCAATGGGTTGTTTCATATAGACCTCCTCATTCAAAAAACCATTAAGGAAAGCTGTAAAACCAGAGCTTTTCTAGTTTCTCCTTTCTTGTTTTTTCATTCATTGAGGATTCAGATATATATATATATATATATATATATATATATATATATATATATATACAGCCATCAAATCTCCTAAGTTTACAGGAACTCAAACTCAAACCTATCTTTCCTATCTCAACTATACAAGATAAGGATTAGAAGAGAACGCAGACTCCTACTCCGAATTCGATCCTAACTCAGCAAAGTCTCCTAATCCCGGATTGTGAATGCCCAACTTGCGGAGAAAATACTCAAATTCTCTGCGACCCAGTGCCTTTGTAAAAATGTCAGCCAGCTGAACGGTAGTCGACACATAAGCATGACGAATGCAACCATTTTGAATCTCATCACGAAAAAAATGGCAATCAACTTCAATATGTTTCATACGCTCATGAAACACTTGGTTTGCTGCAATATGCAAGACTGCCTGACTCACTCCAAGAGCCAATAACAATCCCTTCAGCCATTTTAATTCACATGTGGCCGTGGCCATAAACCGATACTCTGCTTCCGCTGAAGAACGAGCCACAGTGTGTTGTTTCTTAGTTTTCCAGGAAATCGGTGATTTCCCAAGTAGAATAAGCCACCCGGACAGGGAACGTCGGGACAAAGGACAACTCGCCCAGTCTGAATCACACCATGCATATAACTGCAAGTCACAATTTGAATGCAAGAGAATTCCTTGACCAGGATTTCCTTTCAAGTAGCACACCACTCGCAATGCAGCCTCCCAATGTCTTTCTTGCGGTTGCTGCATGAATTGGGACAGAACATGCACACAATAAGACAACTCAGGACGAGTTGCTGAGAGATAAATAAGACTGCCCACCAAGTGCCTATATCGCTCAGGATCAGATAAGAGAGGCCCATCTGTCAAGGCCAGATTGTGATTCTGCTCCATAGGAAAAGGAGATGGGCTTTGTATCTTTCCACTGTCCCATCAGCATTGTACTTGATTCGATATTACCCATTTGCATCCTATGGCTCATTTTCCGGATGGCAAAGGCTCTACGGTCCATGTCTGATTATTCTCAAGTTCCTGTATTTCTTTTTGCATTGCATCCCTCCATTTTTCATCCTTTACGGCCTCAGCAAAAGAAGTAGGTTCAACTCCTACAGTAATAGCTGCCAAGAAAGCACGATGTCGACAAGAAAAATTGTTACAATTCACATAGTTATCTATGGGATAAGGACTACCTGCAGGATGTGATTGGCCGAGTGAGCTTGCAAAGGGACACGGAGAGGGACTCAAGCGCTGTTTGGTGTGAAACACATAGTCTCTTAACCTTGTGGACTGCTATTTCTATCGATGCCCATGCCCCAAATGAGAATCAGAGTGCTGTTGTTGCTCAACATTGCCACCCCCCCTGACGTCAGGACTGTCTTCGCTTGCATTTTCTGTGGTGACGTCAGAAGAATGCATAGGTTCACTAGTATTGGCATTTGGGTCTACATGGGTTCCTTCTTCTACACTGACTCCTTCTACGAGTTCACCTCGCTGGTTAGTCTCCATCTCGCCATTTGCTTGTCCTGGTAAATAAGTGGACGGCACCAACACTTCATCTGTCCCACCTAATCCACAATGAAATTGTCCTTGTGCTTTGTTTGGTTGTTCATCCTCCTTGCGTGCATAAGGGAATTCATCCTCTAAAAAGGTAACATCTCTTGATGCAAAGAACGTGCCAGACTCTAAATCATACAAGCTCCATCCTTTCTTTCCAAAATGATACCCAACAAAAACACACTGTCTACTTCGACTGACAAATTTATCCCCTCCATGTCCATGATTGTGCGCATATGCCAAGCAACAAAAAGCTCGCACATTATCATAAGAAGGAGGTCGCCCAAATAAAACTTCATAGGGAGTCTTTCCCTTCAACGGAATGGACGGTGTTCGATTGATCAAATAACATGCGGTCAATACACATTCTCCCCAAAAATCAATAGGCATGCTAGCTTGAAAACGCAATGCTCGGGCAACATTGAGTATGTGGCGGTGTTTGCGTTCAACCCTCCCGTTTTGTTGAGAGGTCCCCGACACAAATGGTTTGATGAATAATACTATGCTGAGCAAAATAACTAGCTAAGCAAACAAACTCAGTCCCATTATCAGTATGAACCACTTTGACAGGTTTGTTAAATTGCCTTTGAACCATAGCAAAAAAATTTCAAAGAACTTGTCCAACTTCTGTCTTATCAATTAGAAAATAAATCCAAACACCTCTAGAAAAATCATCTACTATTGTCAAGAAATAATGAGCACCACAAGAAGCTACAGTTCTATAAGGACCCCATAAATCACAATGAATTAACTCAAAAATATCGGATGCTTTATTATTATTAGAAACAAACTCTTCTCGACATTGTTTAGCTCGAAAGCATACATCACAAACCTTAATACTGTCATCCTTATTATTTTTAGTACTAACAAAAGGCAGCAATTTAACAATTTTATGAGAAGGATGCCCTAACCTTTGATGCCAAATATCACATGTCTTGCTCTCTGTAGTCTTCATCGCTCTTGCTGATGCAATGCTTTGGAAATAATAGAGTCCCTCTCGCTGCTCACCCGCTCCAATCAGCATCATCGTAATTCGGTCTTGTATCACACAGAATTTATTAGTGAACTGAACAACACAATTCAACTCCTCAATCAATTGCAACACAGAAATTAGATTGCAATTCAAACTAGGTATATATAAAACATTAGTTAGTTTCAGATGATCGTCCAGCGCAACTGTGCCTTCTTTCTCTGCTATTGTCGCTTTCCCATCTAGCAGCCCGACAGAGCATGGAATGACGCTCTTTATTTCTCTCATCAACTCGAGGCTTCCTGACATATGATGAGAAGCCCCTGTGTCTATTATCCACTCTGACAATTTTCGCTTACCACTTAGTTGTTGACTCCCCTCTTTTTGTGTGTTCAAAAGGTTGAGTAACATGTTCCACTACTCACTACTTAGTCCATTTAACCCATTCTTGACTGCATCTATTGATTCTCCTTGAGACGCATTGCCTTGTGCAGAGACTTTGGCTGTATTGGCCCTGACTTGGCCGCCACGACCTTTTCCTCCTGCCCTTGTTCCGTGATTCCCCCCGCTTGCATCCACTCCGCCTTTCCGTCCGAACGGATTCGTTATATCCGAGACCGCGTTGTTGTTCCCG